TGCTGCAAAAGACCTCTCTAAAAGTGTTAAAAAGCAAAGATATCATTTTGAGGACTAAGGTGCACCTGACCCAAAAAACCAAACCTGTTGCTGTGGAGTCAGTTCTGACTCATAGTGACCCTACAGGACAAAGCAGAACTGCCCCATAGGGTTTCCAAGGAGCGGCTGGTGGATTCCAACTGCTGACCTTTTGGTTAGCAGCAGAACTCTTAACTGCTGTGCCACCAGGTCTCCGTGCCTGACCCAAGCTATAGTGTTTTCAATCACCTCATATGCATGCAAAGGCTAGACAATGATTAACGAAGACTGAAGAATTGATGCCTTTCAATTATGGTGTTGGTGAAGAATGCTCTAGACTGCCAGAAGAATGAACAAATATGTGTTGGAAGAAGTACAGCCAGAATGCTCCTTAGAAGAGAGAATGGTGAGGCTTCATCTCATGTACTTTGGACATGTTATCAGGAAGCACCAGTCCCTGGGGAAGGACATTATGCTTGGTAAAGTAGAAGGTCAGCAAAAAAGAGGAAGACCCTCAACAAGATGGACTGACACAGTGGCTGCAACAATGGGCTCAAATACAGCAACGATTGTGAGGATGGCGCCGGACCAGGCAATGTTTCATTCTGTTATACACAGGGTCACTATGAGTCGGAACCGACTCGATGGCACCTAAAAACAGTTTTACCATCATTTATAAATTCCTCCCATTTGTAAGATTTACTAAAACTCATTTCCCTTTTTCTACTCCTGTATATGTTTGTAGTCATCAGATTTCTTAACCAACTATTACAAGATAAAAATTATCAACATAAAACATTTTACTCCCCCTGTGCTCTCATATTTGCAAGACAATTTCCTTTTCCTTCTTAAAACATCCCAAAATTATCCCTGTAGGATCCATTAGTTTTTCTTGATCAATTAGGAGAATAATTACCTCCTTCAAGCATTAACTTATATACCTCAAATATAAGATTCTAAAAACTCTTTAAGAAACCCAACTCATATCCTGAATGTATACTATCCAAATTAAATAGTAACCAGTGAGGTTAGCCATATAATTCAAATAATAGTCAATGATTTTCCACTGACATTCCATTAAAACACACACAACACACACACACACACACACACACACACACACACACACACACAATTTAGTTGAAAACTAAAATAAAATTCTTATTTTTTCATTCTCTATTCAATTTGTTTCTCTTTTTCTTATGGCAGTTTGTGGTATAGTTCAGCAACCTACATAAAAGTAACAAAAAAAAGTTTTTATTAATCACAACATGAAACAGACACGAGCTCTTATTAGAACTGAATCAGGATAAATAATGCTGTTATAAAATTTATATTTCTCACATCCATCAATTACAGAGGAAAATATTACATATTAGGGCTCTTTTTGATCTTATGTACTGATTTCAGTAAAACTATTTTTGTTTTTTTATTAATAGTAAATAGCAATATTCTAAACCTGTGCTAAGTAGTTAAAAAGGCAACCATAAAATCTTTAACGACAACAGCTGGCAGGATTAGGAATGTTTTGTTAAATACTAAGAACCACATGTGTGTTTTAGCTGTTATGTCAGTGCACCTTTTTCACTGCTAAGGCAATTGCTTGCTGTGGCTGCCATGATGATCAACAAGTTTCTTCTTAACTAACAGATACTCAATTACGACTTGAGTAAGTTTTCTTTCCCGATTTTGTTCTTCTGGAGCAGAAGCAAACATCTTTGTCGTTTGTACACAGGGAGGCAAATATTGTGAAATGCAACTGCTATAATCTTCTAACACACAATTAAACGGGGGCAACAAATCATTATTAAGAATAAGCCTTTGAAATACTTTGTTTTTAAAATAGCAAGGCTTCAGAATAACTTCCCAAAACTAGCTTTCCATTTTGGTACATGACCTGATAAACATAACATGTTTGATCTATATTTTATTAATGTCTACTATCAACTACACTTTGCCCTCAATAAGGGTTAGGGTTGTGGCATCAAACAATTTCTATATATAATACATTTTTAAATAAGCTTCCATTTCACTGAACTAAGTATTCTTCTTTTCCCACTTGTATGCCTGTAGAAGGTATTCTGAACATATACATATATCCACCTGCATAATACATATGTGTGTGTATATATGTATTTTTTAAGTAAGTTACTTTTACCATTTGAATAAAACTAGACTACAGGGACGACTCTGAGGAACAGTTTGGTCTTCCCTTGACTCCTTCTCTAGGTTAAGGCAGGCAGGTAGAGTTCGCTGAAAGATGTGATGAGGCTGTAGTAAGTCTTTTCATCATCAGTTAGTCCTGCATTGCCGGGTCTCACCACCACAGCTACGTGCACGTCTGCTTCCTCAGCAGCACTGGCCTCTGTGGAAATCAGAGAATGCATCAGAAACCTCAAAACAGGATTTTGAAGTCTGAGATTTGCTTCAAAGTAATCAGGGAGAATGGATGAAACAAGTTTGGCCCTGATTTAATCACTGTTAAGTTAGATGATGGCCACATGGGGGGTTGACTATATTATTGTCTCTTTTATGTATGTTTTAATTTTTCCACAATAAAATTAAAAAAAAAACACATAACTGTATTTGACAGAGTAGAATGACAGTGTACACTAGACTTCTGAGCTTTATTACGTCCTTATGAATGGCAAAGGACAGGGCCATGTCCTGTTCTACCTTTTTCTTCCATTCCCCCCATCAGCGCTATAGAGAACTGAGCTGTTTCTTTAAGAACAGGCTATCAGTAATAACAATCAAGTAGATAATGGACAAAAAGAATCCATGATCTAATCAGGTTAAAGAATCTGAAATAGGACCTGCTCTCACCTCCAAACCCCACACACGTTATATCCCCGGCCTAGACTGTCTCTTTTGCCTGGCAAATTCCTACTTTTCAAAATTCAGCTCAAATAGCATGTCTTCCAAACCACGACCATCTGTATTAAAGCATCCAATGTGCTCTTTTAACATCCTGTAGTTACTTCTAGCATGACAGTATAATTTGACACATTATTTTTACCTGTACTCTCCTCTCTCCTTGTTATATAGACTGTGAGTGCCTTAAGATAAGTGACTATGTGGTGGGGTAGAAGTAAAAACAGGACTAGTCAAAAGAAACCTGGTAAGCTAGGTATTGCAGGGATATCTCTAATAAGCCTTGGTTTACATTCCTCTCTCCATTTGGTTTTGATTTAAATGATGACAGCGAATACTTTACATTAATTTAG